ACATCTTCCCCCTATAAGGAGAGAAGAGGTCCTTAAAGCAGCCATGCCAGGCGCTAACGTCCTCTCTCATCCGCGATAGAAGAACATTAACAGAACAGTCAAAGCAATAAACAAAGTCACAAACACATACGACATCATACAATGGAGCAGTTACGTGAGGGGTCTTTTTTGTTGGTTACAGTACGGGAGGGTGGGGGGGTCAAGAGATTAGAAAAAAGAGGAAAATGTGACACTGAGGCAGTCCTCAGGCAGAGCGACAAGTAATAAACAGAAACGAGTGAGTATAAAGCTGTGCTTGATGTCTCAGCTGAAATGAGCACCAAGTTGATGAAATGAGCGCAGCAGGACGGGCGGAATACTGCCACTGGAGTGGCATCAAGGTTGGGATACATAGACAAACACAGAGACACACAGTACAAGACTGGTGAATACAAGTTGAATAGAAATCAACAGTAAATTTGTAAACTGTCATCTATTTACAGAGACATGAGACATCTCATTACACGTCTTGACAGAGGAGGTGTCTCCTGTGGTGTCTGTGGAGAAGAAAGGACGGACTGAGTGTTGGGTCTCTGCTGGTTCAGTCTCTTCCACTGAAAGTCTAACACCTAGAAACAGAGAAAGTGGACTTTTGTTTTGTATTACTTTACTTTACATTACATACTTACTGCAATACGCCCAAAGCTGACATTTTGTATTTACTGCTACAAAGTATGAACCGATGTGTTTTATAAATGACAGTCACATGGATAGAAAAAAGGGGAGTGCTGAAAGACATACTGGCATTAAAACAGTGTAATTTATCTGACCATCACACATCAGATATGTCAAATTCATGCATTTTTCTGTTTATGTTCACTAGGATAAGGTAAACAAATGAGAAATGAAGCAGGTGAAAGTACTTGCTGTTGCCTTCCAGTAGCCCGAGTACAGTGTTCAGAGCAATGATAGAAAGTAGACCTACAGACTGCACAGTGGAAGTAAAAAGCTGTTTCCCCTCCAACAGTTTAAATAAAATTACGATTTTACAAAGATTTTCAGAACTCTAACAATCGTGAGGAAGTCACACCTCACAGTGTACGATTACATATTGCATGACACCATTTGCTTCCAGTGTTTTGTCAGCTCTAATCCATTTCACTGTCTCATCCTGTTCTATGCCGTGTTACAGCCATTTGTTTGTCACGTAACTACATCTGTTCCCTCATTAGGAAATTGGCTGGTAGGATTTTTTCAAACCAAAAGAAACCTGCTTCTGTTTCTGCAGGTAATTATGTGAATATCTGTGTACATTTTGTGAATTATTGTTTGGAAATCTAAAATTAGCTTTTTGTACTTGAATGCATGGTAATGAAGATATCGAATAAAAATCTAAGCAAAAATTGTAGAAAGAATTAGGTTGGATAGTACAATACATGTGTACGTGTACTGATCAAAAAATTACTCAGGTTTACAGACGTGATATGTTTACGACTATGAAAACATCACATTTAAACGAACAGACCTTCTTCTCCAGACTCTGCTGAGCTCTCTGCCACTGCAGCCTCATCATGCCTTCCTCCTGTACAGTGAAGAATCATAATGAAAAAAATCTGAACGTAAAATCAGGTTTTCAGACACAGACATTTATTAGAATTACTAAAATTACTGCTTCAAGCTATGTAGTAAATTAATTCAAGTATATGGCTATGTGGCTAAAACCTAAACGTGTGTATATACATATTATTTTATATTTTACTTTCTGTTCACTTTAAGGCTTTGTTATGAAGTGTTTTGCAATATAAAGTGTTTCAATCACATTTATTATTTCACCCTCTTTGTGTTTCTCATCATTACATGTTAGATTTTACTTTTTTCAGAACACTGTTGTGCTTCTACACTGATCACAGAGACTGATCAATATTGCTATTATGACTTTTGAAAGTGGCAGCCTGTGTGCATCAGAGGCTGTTAACTAATAATAATTTCATGCAAAACTTAAAAATGCAGTAAACTCTCAGCAGCATCGGTTTAGCTGTGCTCACTTCTGAAGACTGAACAGACGGGGAATTCCAGATGCATCCCAGCCACATAACCGTGTAGACCTCAAACCCACTAAACTATTCATCTTACACATCTTGAGTG